AGGAACGCAGTCTTACATATTTGTTTAATATGTGCGTTGAAGGACATGTCCTGGTCAAAAATGACTCCAAGGTTCCTCACAGTGTTACTGGAGGCCAAGGTAATGCCATCCAGAGTAAGAATCTGGTTAGATCAGTCACAGCCCAACTACAGTTCCACCTCACAGTGTGTGTCTAGAGAAACGGTTACCATACAGCAGTCCTGCAGCCCAGAGTCCACCACCACCAGTAAGTCTGGTGTGAAGTCGTACATGACCAGCTGATGTCCAGAGAGTGGCATAGCTTTGTACAAAACTGTGCATCAGTGATGCAGTTTACTCAATGCGACAGGCACAAAGAAAGTCATGTCTTTGTTAACTGCCGTTCACAGATGTTTGGAGGATCACGTTTACAGAGAGGCGTGACGATAATAATTTAACATTAACAGCTGATCGTTGTGTTTTTATCTATTTTAGGTATCCAAGAAGTCATTTGTCATACATCACATGGAAAATCCTACATCCCCCACAAACTCCTCCCACACTGAACCGTTCTCCTTGTATAATGGAAGACGTGCCTCTGGTGACGTACGCTCGCCTGATTCTTCCAGCAGCGACGCTGCAGAGCTGCCAGGAAAAGAGGATGAGGATAACCGCCTCCATGTTAGTGAACTCCTGTGATAGATGTTGGTTATTTGAGATTTTAATAACACTGACTGCGAAACATGTGACATTAACTCGTCTCCACCCGTAAAAATCGTGATGACAATTTAGAATAAAAAGAGTAAGGCCCAAATCACACAGGCGTCGAGGTTCGTCAGTGGCCACATGGCAAGTACCGGTTGTGAGGGGGAACTGGGTACTCCCTGACCAATCGCAAGTGGTTACTTGAGGTTGATCTTTGGTAAAGCCCCGGTCAGACAGACCTAGAGACTGGCCTGTGATTGGCTCACCAGTTGGCAAACAGCACCGTGTGATTGATTTGTTGGCAAGCATGTTGCCATAGTTGTCTGTAGTTTGGATGAAAGTAACAAATTTATCTATAAACACTCGCTGGCATCTCTCCGAGCTGTAATGGATCTGTGGAAAGTTTAATACAAACTGGAAACTGAGACCATTTGTGCTTTGAGAGATGTTGGGTACAGCTCTCTCACTTTGAAGCTCGTGTCACACTTTCTGAAGTTTTGCTACCAGTCATCACGTCCAATATACTGGACGTTCTTTAACGAATGATGTCAAACAATCTTAAAAGATTCAGTGCGTCTCAAAGTTTAATAGGCATGAAAGTCTGAGGATACGTTCAGGGTAGGTCGAACACATGTCAATACCATGAGTGGTGTATATGGCAGACGGGTTCTGGACCCAGTATGCAGGTCTCGAGAGGCAAAACCTGAACTCAAAAACAGCTTTATTGCATGTGACGTTCCAGAAATGCAAAATGAAGAGATCACTGGAGCCGGGAATACAGAACACGTACAGAGAAAACCACGGCACTAGGTAGCAAAGAACACACATCAGTGACAATAGAAACATGGCAGGTGATGAGGACGAGGAAGAAGAGTGGCAGGAACAAACTGGGAGAACAACTCAGCGTTCATATGCTTACTTGACACAGACACATGGACACATGACTGACTGAGGAGATGAGACTAACTACAGAGGGACACTGAGGGGAACAAATCAGGAATGACAAGACAACTGGACCTAAACTGGAGCACAGGAGACAAAAGCCTTCTGATGTACAGGAAGTGACGAAACATGGAATCACAAACAGAAACTACAGAAGCACGGAGACCACAGTGGGAACAAAATAAACTAAAACCCAGAACTGAAGTAGATGAGAAAGCGCTCCTCTACTTCGCTTAAAATATCAATATTGAAGAAAGTTAAACTGAAAACACTGAATCCAAACTCAGGGATCGTAACAAGCTCAGCTGTGCAGTGATCCGTGTTCTGCAGAAACGCCGAGAGCACGGCAGAAACACAGACGAAGCTAAGATACTCCCTACTTATTTAAAATATGTTGTATTGTTTTGGTCTTCTCTCTGATAGACAACAGGAAAGAGAATAACCTGAGTGTTTTCAGAGAGCGCTTCTTTTTTGTAATTCTCATATTCTTTTCCAGAATGTGGGAGAAGTCGTCACCGTATCCAGGGAAAGCTGGGAAAACCTGATAAGCAGAGTCCTGTTGTTGGAAACAAAGGTGGAACAGAGAAACACAGAGGTGGGTGTGTGCACATGCTGTGGCGTTTTCTTCCTGTAATGTTGTTGATACGTGGCGATTGATTAGGGTTTAAAACATGGATTTCCTGATTCAAATCAAATTTATATCGAACAAATTGCAAAACTCTCAGCTGTGTCTCTGATCAAACTTCTGTAACTTTGCTTCACTTCAGCAGCATCAGGTCATGTTCAGATGTTGATTGATGGTTTTCTTACGTTTTTGTTCTACTGCAGGATATTTTTAAGATTATCTGCTATAAAAAGCCAATCCAGGAAAATCTGCTTCCTGTTTGATCCTCAGTCACTTTGACACAAAGGCTTCTGCTGTGATGCTCACACCTCTGATGAAGTCTCACAGTGTCAGCTTTGGTTTTATACATAGACAGTAAATATATTATAATTCTGCACATCCATATTTTTATATCTGAGTCCAAATTTAATTTAATTGAATCAGGACCTTGTGAATCGGAATCAAATCAGTTCCATGCTTTTTCAGATTAAATGAAACCACCTGTTCTGTCCTTATTGTGCGTCCCTTTGCCAACGTGACAGACAGCTAACGGTTTCAATGACCATTGGAGGCGGAAGTAAGTTTAAGGCTTTTTACTGCGTCAGTAGTTCAATGATCGACATCCTTTTCTTCCTGTAAAACTAAAAACAGACACAAAGTAAATGTTACAAGATGTCTTTTCCTTTTTACACACACTTCTAGGATATGAACTATACTGTTATATAGTATGTGTAATCAACAGCGACTCAGTATTGATCACAACACAACTTAGCGAGTTTAGCTTCCTCAAAGATAAACATAGAAGATGAAATAACTGTTTCTAAACAAATCTGTGTTATAGAAATGCACCAAATAAACTTGTAAACATGTTGGACATTAATACTCACAAGCAATAACTCTCCAAGGCAGAAACGTTTTAAAGAGCAACAACATATTCTGCAGGCTAACAAACAACCAGCTTCCTGTTTCCTCTACTCACAGGAACACAGAAAAACCCCACCAAAATATAAGCTGGCGAGTATTCCCACTATGACCAGCAGAGGGTGCTGAAGAGAAAGAACCTATGCATGTCATAACACCACCTTTTCTAAATGACTGGTAATCTGCAACCAGTTTACCCAAATGGTTTAAAGATGGCCATTTTAGTTGCATCTCCTTTTGCCTTCTCGTGTCTTTGTTTAGGTGCACAACACACAGCCGTGCCAGTCGTCTACCTCATCGCACGCTTCCAGTTACACAATTGATCCTTCAAAGGTGAGCAATTTGCTCCTTATCTGTCCTGTGTTGTAGTCGTAGTAGACCAAAGTGTAGACATTTGACCTTCTTGACTGTTTGTACGCTGAGTAATTTGGAAAAAAAGGTAATTAAGCTGAGTTGAAAACCTTATGTTTTCAAGCTTTCTCGTGATTGGAATGAGTTAGTTTTAAATATCCCCACTTTAAATTTTGTGTTATTATTTTAAATTCTGTTCTGTTATGCTGTCTATGCAATTAAGTACCATTCATTTAGACCTGCTGGTACCTCCACGACTTCTTTGGCTGTGAGTCACAGTGACACGTATCTAAAGAGAAACCTCAGCATGATGTGGTAGAAATCGTTTAGGAAAATTAATTTGAGATGTTTGTAGTTTTGCTGAGTCACTAACGTGGAGTGTTCTGGGATTGTGTGAAATCATTAAATCACTGCCTGTAATTAAGTCTCAGGACACCTATTTGTACTTTATATCAGTCGCAAGTAGAATAAACTTAATAAACACTTAATTATGTTTTTATATTTATGCTTTCCATCAGACTGTTCAACACCATCTGGGATGCAGATGCTAATTGAAACATTCATTTCATGGAATAAGCTTTTCTTTTCTTTCTTTATAGTAGATGTTTTCCAGTCTTACTGTCTGAAACATTTAAAGCTGCTGCTCAATATTTAGTGGGATTGGTCAGACGTTGCACGTGTCACCCCTCGCACGCGCGTGTACCTAGATTAGGAAACCCAGGGTAACTTAACATGCTGATAACCAGCTTCATGTGACCATTTAGTGTGATTGCTGATGTTAGTGTCAGTGAATCCAGAACAAACAGATACCCTGGGCATGTTAAACTTGCTTCCTGGTACAAGGCCCATATTTGGGCGTATGAGGACGACTTCTGGCTTATCTCTGCTATCACTACAGTAACTTATTTTGTAGACCAAACTTGGTAGGAAATCACCATTTACTGACCAATTGAGAACATTATTCCTGGATTTTAGTTATTTGGGCGATCGTGGCTCAAGAGTGGGCAGTTCGTCTTGTAATCGGAAGGTTGCCGGTTCGAGCCCCGACTCG